AAACTGCAAGTTATCAACATAATCGAAACGAGAAAAAGGGAACAGAAAAATATAGTAGCAACAACATACAAAAATATTTTCATCAAATGTGTTATGAAAGTAAAAAAGACAATCTTACCACAGGACCATTAACACATTATGCAAATAAAATCGAATGGCTTTATATGGCAAACAATTCTTCTTCCAAACCAAGGCAAGGAATTTTGCTTAAAGTATAAGTAGCGGTGGAGACATATTTAAAATCCTACTTGATAAGAGATGTAATAAAAACTATATACAACCTTATATTGAATATAGACCCTGAATCATATGCGAACCTTCTTTATGCAAATTCAGTTATTAATCGAAAGTACGAGTTCACACGTTTTCTATTCGGCCTCAAAAACAGACTATCTATCTTTCAAAGAGCAGCAGATCATATTTTTTTGGTATACACAGAAACATCGAAGTGTTGCGATGTAAGAAAGTTTTTTCTTGCTTGAACACAAGACTAAGTTCATAACTATCTATAAGATTTGAACAATCGCAATATAATACAGTTAAACAATTTTATCCATTCACTGAGTTTGTTCGCCGGGATTAGTTCAAAAGTCACGTAGTCATGCAGTTTGAGCATTAACAGGCAGGTCGATATCTTCAAATACATTCGTCTTGTCAAATCGATTAAGAATATTCATACTGCTATCGCCTTCCCGTTAAACTATATTTAGACTCTTCAAATATAATATATCCTCTGTTTATCGTATTTTCTTATTTAAACAAAACATTTAAGTTAACTCATTCAAATCATTACATTTATTTTAATTATTCCATTAAGCATTAAAGAAATCTAGAATGCTTTTTAAAAATGTCGATCTTCTAGAACAAAGTTCCAGAAAAAACACAAATACGCATAATAACAATAAAATTAGATATAAACTGAATATTCCAAAAAGCAACCAAACGGAAAGTGCTTGTGCTATATGAGACTCCTTCTGTAATAAACGGTTTTTATCCAGATAAGTATCCTCAAATTTTCGTATGAAACCAGAAGACATTATATCCATTAGAATTTCATTGATTTTATGTAGCAAAAAGGAATACTTTGGCAAATACATTGTTAGTGGTACAGTTAATAGTTTTTCCGGTAAGAAATAATAAGGATCATGACTTTTGTTTTGGTTATAATAAAATAAAATGTATTCATAAGTAGGAATCGCTATAGTTTCAGCTTCGTCACGTGTTCGGGAAACCATAATATATTTCATTTTCGTGTAATTTTCTACTGTCTGTATATTAGTTGATTTAGTAGATTCCTTCATCATATCTTCTATTGTGTAGTGAACATAGAATGTATAATTTTTTTCAATCAATTCATCAACGGTTTGAAGTGATGTACGTGTCCGTCCATCTTGTAAAATCGAAAATAGTTCACTTAAATATGCATTTCGTAATACAAGTGTGTATAATATCCAAACTGTTAGCAGGTACCGAGCGAAATTTCTTCTTGGTAGCCTATGAAGACCAACACCATATAATGAACTCCATAGATTTGTAAATGGTAAACGATTTTTCTGCCCGAAAATAAAATTAAGTACTTCGATTTTGCAAAACAGTTTCACACCAAATATTATAAATATAGCAAATAGTACACTAAATCCTAAACAGATCCATATGATATTTCCGAAAGGTTTTACAAGTCGTTCATAAGGTGACATTTGTCGTCCCTTAGGTATTATTACGTACACTGAACTACTCAAGTAGGGAAATGTTGCTTGCATGATACTTGAGTGCATTTTATTATACATGTAACCACCAATTGCTATATTTGAGGTACCTTCAATTATCTGCATAAATTAAAAAATAAAATGTACTCATAATGAAAAAGCATTAAGAATTTTTTACATACCATTTTCATTGCTTCTGTGATGTTACCACTTAATGGAACGTGGTCAATATCTGTTATAGATTTTGGAAGTGCACAAAATGTAAAATTCAATTTCTGTGAAATTAATGTCAATATCATTCCTTCAATACCATCAAGCCGATCTAATTTTTGAGGTGGTTTATAATTTTTATCAATAATAATTAATGGGTTGAAAACGTTAGCTGTCACCACCATATCACACCCATACATGTTGCTAAGTTTATCTGGAAAAAACGGTTTTGAAAATGTGAAGTTTTTATTTTCAACGTTTCCGTTGAAGGTAAGATACAACTCCGGAATAATAGAATTACACATATTCGGCTTAAAAGGGAAATATGTGTATACCTCTACTGTCTGGTTAGTAAGAACCAATATATTTATATTAATGACGTATATATAGAAAAGTCTGTGAAAAATTTGTCTCATGTTTTCTAAAACATTCGATTTATTGCCAGTGTATATAATTGTGAAGAAACCGAGGCGTTGGAAATAGTTGTGTGTTCTTAGCAAAGTATCTTCTAATTGACTGAAATAAACCATTAATATAAAGTTTCCTAATAATTATTTTCTTTAATAATATTTACTTACGTAAAGGATTTTAAACTATCAATTAACCAAATTCCTTTATCTTTGTTTCGAAAATTTTTCATAAAAAGTTCGTCTTCAGTTGCGTTTTCATAAATAGTTGAATTAATCTCATAAATATTTCCATCACCTACGAAAAATTCTATATTCATATCATTTTCATGTTTAGTAATCCGTTTCAATATCTCTTCAATTAAATCGTTATGGTAAAAATTACTCTTGTCAGTAGATGCAAACTGACCAATTGTTAAGGTAGTTGTTGTGGACTCTGCATAGTTATTTAAAATAACCCAAACAGTTGATAAGATCAATGATAGGTTGCCCGTTGGGTTTATATTCCCAGTGATATCTTCCACTCCGTTCATGTTGTTGGACTTATCTAATTTCTACAATTTGACGTCTTCTTACTTTAAGTGTCGATGATATACTAGATTTGAAAATTAAATATATTTAAAATTCTTCTATTATAAATAATTTCATGTTTAAACTATATATGATTTATTAGTTGACTGTTTAATTCCATTAGAGCTAATTATAGCCTTTTAAATAATACAAAACTCAAGTCATAAGGATGAGGAATGTTTAATTGCTTATTATTGTTAGTCTCTTGTTAAATGAGAGTTTCAAACGATGTTAAAAGTTAAAAGAAATTTCTTGTAATATTTATCGTATAATTATATCTGTTAAAGAATAAACATTTTTTGGATTTTATATTCTTGTTTACGTGATGCTTTTGATGCCAAAATACACGAAATATCATGGAATGGACTGATTAGAACATTATAATAGGAAAAAAATTTAATAATTATCAACTATTATTTTGATTTAATAGGGAATAATACAATACTTTTTCTAAGATAGAATTCCGTTAGAATCTATTGAGGGAGATGGCCCAGTTCTCTGAGTGAGTGATACAAAATGGTGGTTGCAAAAGTGGAATCGATATGACAGTAAAGGAATATGTAAAATGGAAACAATTTTTTCAATGGTAATATGTTGGCTAATTATTTCATTTCACCTCTTGCTTTGTATCTATAGATCAATTTTGTAACTAAACATGACACATATATCTGACCAAGAGAAAAATTTAAGCTTTCTATACTCAAATCATAGATACTCATTGTTGATCCTTACAATTTCTAAATCATTATGATAAATATCATTTTATTATAAAAACAATTGGAATACCAAATCTGCAATTCTACCCACATTGAATATTGTTATTATGCTATTTACCTTGCAACATTGTCTTGAAATCATATTTTAACTATGATAAGTGGAATCAAAAAAGATTTTTAATTACTCCATGTACATCTAAAAAAAACATCCATTGTTAACAGGAAAAGGATAAGTCGTAGTGAAGTGGTGGCCATTAGAGTAGTGCCTCAATAACCTACCTCCTTCTTACCATTTATGTGTATCAACTCGGATCGCCACATGAAAATAAATATTTTTATATGAATTTAATAAATATAGATATCGAAAATATGTGGTTCTTACAAGACGATTTTACAGACCCCACAATAAGTTTTGTTTTAGCTTTGTTACAGAATATATTTCTCGGGCGTGAAGATTCATGTTTTGATGATGTAAATTAACTACCAAAATCATATGTTTTGTCAACACTAGACCTTTTTTGTAGAAATGCACAACTAATAGGGTTCATGCAAACAATCCTCAAATTCTCGACTCTTCGAAAACAAATATCCATCAAGTAATGATGTAGCTATTGTTAGCAATATCCCGACAAAATATTTCGAAAGGATCCAGTGCTATAAAATAAATTTGGGGAATATATTTGAATAATATTGTATTACTCACTTAGGGACAAGGTCTGAATAATATGATTATGTATAACATATATGATTATGTTATATTAATATGATTATGTTAAATAGTACCATATAACTTTTGGAACTACAATACGAATAACTCTGTATTTTATTGATGCTTTATAGAAATATATATATTTAAATATGCAAATTATATTTTTTGTTAGCAGATCTACAACTATAAATGTGGAGTAATTCTGTTTGAAACATTTTGAAATTGAGTGACCTTCGGTGATGTAAAGCTTTAATATTGTCTATAAGTGATTTATGAGTTTTATATCAGTAAAATTTATTTTATTTGTTTTAAGAAATAATTTAATAATAATTTATTTGTTTAAGAATAAAACAAGAAATAATATCAATTTTTAATATTATAAAATTCATAATTAGAGGATCTTTATTGTATTTGTTGATTTTTTAAACATTTTTTATTTATAATTTTTTTCAGAATATAAATGCAGTTAACTATGTAAGCGATAAGATATTTTAACTTTCCTTTTAATGTAAATAAGACTATAAATCTGTCCATTAATTTAGTTCTTCAATTGTAAAAATTTCTGTTTGTGTGACACTTCTTTGGATATTTTCTTTTTCGAGAACATTTTAACTTTTTAAACATCTTTTGCGTCGACCAAAATAAAATCTCAATGAGGAAAACCAATAAACTCAAGCAGTAGCCAAAGAGCAATAAAAGTACAGCACCATATAGTTGCTTTAATGTCATGACTTGCGGCAACTTATCTCCAATATTTATAACCGAACTTGTTCTCGTCTCAATTAATTCTCGCTCCCATTTATCCATTAAACCTACGCTGGCATAAAGTGCAATTAACTGATTAAATTGCGAGAGAATCATCGAATTTTTACGCATATAAATACTTAACTGTTGAGTAAATAATTTGTCCGGTATGACATAGAAGTCGGTATTGTATACATTCTCACGTCTATAGTAACCAAAATACTCCAAAGCTGTTAAAATTGATACCTTTGAAGTATTGTTTTTTATCAAATCAAAATTATAGAGGTTAGTCGCATTCGATACGTGTGTTATAGTACGTAGGAGCGGTAAGTCGTCCAGTAGATCATATACAACATCGGTTACAAAAACATCATATTTTTGTTGATATAGTTCAAGTATAGTTTGTGGAGGTAACAAATGTAAGTCAGATTTTATAAAATGGTACAGAAAAGCCTGATATGCTATACGTAACACCATAGTTTTCATTATCCACAGGAAGAGTATGAAACGAGCAAAATTTCTATTTGGTGGCGTTATTATAGTCCCACCTAGACTTGCTATGAACATGTTGTAAAGTGGAGTCTTATTTTTGTAGCCGACTATAAAATATCTTTTCGACTTGTCAATGAAATATAGAGCTCCGGTAAATATAAAACCACAAATGTATGTAATTGCTAATAGATACCAAATTTCATTCATGAATGGCAGTGTTAATTTAAGCAAAGGACCATAATGCTCTAGATCGGAATTTACTATAAAGTAAAATCTGCTTAGATAATATGGAGTAGTCGGTGAATGGGAATCAGTTGTTTGAGTTGCTTTATACTGGAATGCACCAAATACGAAGTCTGTACCTGTTGAAAAAAGCTGAAAGTGAGAACAATAATTAATATAAAATCTAAATATTGTATATTGAGTATATTTGTTTTGTATTTTAAGAAACCAACAAATTTCCTTCACTTATTAGTAGGTTGTTAATAATGCATTACACACAATAATTATAGTAATTCTGAAACCCAAAAATTGTCATTTATATCTACTAAAAGCAACTAAAATGCAATTCATACCAATTAATTACGTAGCGAGTGCATAATTTAGCTATCGAATATAGTTTGAAATAAATATATGTCAAAGTGCCAGCTAAAAACATCAAAAATATAATACTAAAAAAATACTCAGCGTCTTTAACTATGTTTGTACAAGTCGGTTGGAGCAATGAAGTAATTAAAATAAACTTTACTAGTCCAAGCAGCTTCGCAAGCACCCAAAAGTTCCACTCACAACTAAGGAAACCTTCTTTTATTTACACTCTCTTCTTTATGTGTGGCATTAAGAATATTCCACCTCTTTTTAGTCTAGAATTAATTGTTGTGTTGGAAAGGTAATTTCCAAAACTACGAATATTATGAAAAATATTAGTTTTTGTGCAGTGTTGCTGTAGAATATAACTACCTTTCATTTACTTAAATAGCTAAATAAAACTATATTGCAGTAACTAATATGATCAATGGTCATACTGCAATTTTGAAGTATGTCAGATTGCGATATTTACCTTATCAAAAATAGTGTTTTCATCATCCACTGTTTGTTTAATTTCCTCTTCATTCATCCAGTAAAATTGCACCGAAAAATTCATTTTTGTAGCAATGTACTCCAATAGCTTGCCCTCGAAACCAATCATGTACAGCACTTCATTGTCTCGATTACGCTTGACGGCGAAAAATGGCATATTCTCCCAAGTGGCGCACTTTAATGGACAGCCATGGAAGTTTGCAAGTTTATCTGGATAAAACTGCTGATGCTGCCAATGCAAATTGACAAATTTATTTTGTATTGTCGGTGCAAATCCTTGGCAATGGTAGTCATTATAAGGATAAGCGCTGAATAGTATAATTAAATTTTTTAGCGCATAAACGAGTATGTTTGCGTTGATAAGACTTCCACGTCCGTTCATTTGGAATATGTCATACAGGTCTTCGTAATAGTGTGACTTAAATGTATATAGTACTATAACAAAGTATCCATTAATATGCAGATGATATTGGTCAATTTCAGAGTAAAGATATCTGCCATTTTAAAAATTGTTTTATTAAATTTTTTCCTCACAAATATTAAATAAACGCATTATTTTTTCTTTTACCAACTTTACCTAAAGGATTGTATCGAATCCACTAGTAGTACACTGTAGTGCCGCTCATTATCCTTTATTAGCCCTGTACCCATACCAATTCTTGCACTGATTTCAATATTTTCGACGCTGGCCAAATTATTTGTAATTTCACCGAAAAAAGTTAAACGTTTTTTCTGCGTAGCCTGTGAGAACAAATTATAAACACGCTGCTGTTGCACGCCTACAAAGGATATTTTAAGTATCTCATATATGGCCACTGAAATGTTATATGCAATTTCGGTATCAGCATTTATATTGATTCCGGTATTAATACCCTGCACTGAAGCCGTCGATATGCAAGTCAATATATAAAACAAATAACAGCTTTGCATTGTGCAAAACGACTGCAACGCACTTACTTCAGCTTAATCAACTGCAATGCATTTCCGGAATATTGCTCGGTTTAATGCAGCGACGACGTTTCCTTTCACAAAAACGGTCACCTTTAATCAAATATCTAATGACCAAATGGTGGCCAAATGGTGGCCAGCCGAGGCATTAATTTCATTACTAATTACAGCTACGATGTGTATTTAAAATACTTTGGGTCACGTAACTCTAATGCTATAATTTGACGTCACGTGATCCACTGCACTGTGTAATTACAAACGCGCTGCTTAATCCATACTTTGCACCTTCCTGCAATTTTCTAAATGAATTTAGAAATGCTTAATTATGCAGTGTTAAAGTTCGCTGACATAATTTAGAATTAAATTTTATTTATTAATAGTTTGCACCAGTCCACCAGTCCACCAGTATAATTATAGCAAAACTATTACTTATAACATATTTAATAATTAAATAACTCTACTATATTATATAGAATATCCATTTAATAAAAGCAACTGCGGAGATATTTTATTTAAACTACAAAACTACGTCATTGAGCACACGAGACATTGATAACATCCATAAAGAATTAATTTAATAAATCTGTATAGAACCGATATGGTGTGAAATATAAATGAAGATAAATCCTACACAATTGTGTAAAAGCTGACATTTGGGATTAACACTACCCTATGATATTTCGGACAATTGTAGACTGGATATTATGCATATTTTATTATTATCTATTTATTATGAAAATGTTGTTGATGTTGAACCTTTTCCGAGTTAGTGCATCTGGGCAGTTTTACTCTTTGATAGCTGGGGGATTTCTGCAGGGTCCCAATCATCTCACTGACTAATTTGTGTATTCCTCATAAGCTTCGTGTTTATTAAATGACCGATCTAAGAGCTGCTTACCGCCCCGTGCGGTTAGTGATTACTCTGAGATTAGATAGTGCTAAGTAGATTAGCCTATCGGTTTTGGCATATAGCTTCAGGGATTAAAACTTTCCTATAATATTTTGGATAATTTTACATTGAGTATTGTGGATTTTTTTCTTTTAAATGTTATCGTATAAACTTGAATTTAAACTCCAATTAAATGACTTTGTGTACATGTCCACGGTTCTGCATCGATAATTCCATAGTTGTCGGATTCATCAATTAAATCCTATACAATATTGTAAAAGCTGGGATTACAACTTTCCTATAATATTTCGGATAATTTTATATTGAAATGTATAAACTTGAAATTAAACTCCCCTTAGATAAGTCTAAGATCAATCAATTACAAGCTCAGAAATCGTCAAGAGAGTCAAAGCAACCAAAAACAATGGTTTTCCGAAAATAAGTAAGTACTATCCGAAAGAATAAAATTAATTGATAGAAAGTATACATAATAAGCTCGCTTGAATAGCTATTTAATAGCATTTAAAATAGAGAAGTGTATCCAGATGAACTTTAAGCCTATCCCTTATTATGCTTGCATGGTTCATCAATAGTATGTGGTTTTCTAATCCGAGGTTTTCTTTTCGTTTTCACTGGAGCACTGTTTCACTATTTTATATAGTATATTTCAAGCCCAAGTGAGCAATTGAATATAAAGGGATGTCAACTTGAAAAGAACAGTGGCAATACTTGTATACTCAAATCAAAATATTTAAGTTATATTACCTTCAATACTGATTAATTAATTATTATTCTAATTGCAGCAATTAGTCTTTTAAATAGCACAATTACCAAAATAAAATAAATTCACAAAATCTCATTGCTAAGCAATTTATTTAAATTCTTTGAATCGTTACTTGGGTGCTCTATCAAACGGACAGTGGCGGTTTAGTTACAGAGTACTTACTCGCACAATGACTTCAGATTGAGGATATTGTAAAAAATATAACAGCAGGATGAGATATGTTTACATAATTAAGGAAATGTATAAAATTACAAAGGACCTTGTTAATGAAAGCAATTTTCATTTAAATTTTTATTATCGCAGTGCATGGATACGCAATCACATGTCATTAATTTGCTCCTCGTGTAGTCATTGCGATTTATTGTAACCCAATTCTTGCTAAGTTATTTATATCCCTTGCTTCGACGATATCCTACTGTTAGGAATTAAATTCAATTTTGTTGAATATATTGTGGAATATTTATATATCACAATGGAGCAACGGGTCGTGTGATTGTTGTTAAAAAACATTAGTGAAAAGTGAAATTACATTTGGTATCTTGTCGACTCTCTGCAGGCGTTTTTGTAAGTTCAATGGTAATTGGAAGCACGTGATATAAATAAATCTATTGTGCTGCTCTTTGGGAAATTTTTAAAAGGCTTTGCCTAATTTTTTCATTATTTGGAAATTGCTGAGCTCCATGTCAATGCTATTCATTGTGCAACTAATTACAACAATAATAAATTTTGTTACAATATTTAAAATGAAAGTCCAAGCAAACCTTATACGAGTAATACGCGAGTAATATTAACACATTTATTGCTTTAAAAAGAGAAAAACGTAAAATATTACAAAAGTATCTTTTCATCTATGATCCCACAATATTTATTATAGCTTGGCCTGAAGTATGTTATGTAGTGTACACGGATATAAGTTTAGTTGGCAAACCATCAATTAATCAAATCAATTAATCACCTTTAAAGTTGGTCCCATCAAGTATTATTTAATTATAGCGAAACAGGAATAAATTCTTCATATATTTTTCGTAGCCTGATTATAGTATGAACTTCAACTCTCTTCAAGAATCTTCTTAAGAATCGCAATCAGCTTCCAACGCCCTTACCAACATGACACTTTTGGTTGGTAAACCATGGATATAAGTTTAGTTGGCAAACCATCAATTAATCAAATCAATTAATCACCTTTAAAGTTGGTCCCATCAAGTATTATTTAATTATAGCGAAACAGGGTTAAATTCTTCATATACATTAAGACCGAAAAGTTTTCGGAAATTCTCATTTAAAATTCGCGCGCTGTATATTTTTCGATATT